AATTGTCTGCTTCACTGCTTGTCTCATCTCACTGATTCTCCAGCAGTAAAGGACGGGGTTTAAGGCCAAGTTAAAATAAACTAAAACAAGTGCCACTCCCCAGGTGACGATTAAATTCGACGAGTATGTATTACTAGATGCAATAACAATTCCCGATACACCTATTGGTACGTAACAACTCACTAATACTAACTGCACCCATAATGCACTGTAAACTGCCTTTTTGTATCGCGCCATGTTTAGTGCATTTGGCTGGTTCTGCTGTTGTTGTATAAAACCTTGTACTTGAGCCTGGTGATGACTGAGAACGCAGAATATCTTTGTGTACGAGGCCACTGAGATTATTAGGCAAGATGGTATAATTATACGGCTGTACCACATATCTATTCGGTAGTCTAAAATATAGCATAAACAAGCGACGACAAACAGTACCCAAAAGGTTGCTACCATGCAGTAGGTGCGCTTTAAAGTTACAATTTGTCTGTATCTTAGCCCCGACAACAGGGCGAGAAGTCTGTCCACGCTTATGGCCGCCGTTGTCAACAAAGACACTAAACATAATGCATAGGTTGTTATGTAAGTTGCCTCGTATGCGAATCGACAAATATACCACTCTTCGTGAACTAGGGACATCCAATAACTGGTAGTGAAAGGCTGGCTAACAATACTGACTAACAGATCAGTTGCTGCCAAACAACGATACAAGACTTTGGACGGCGGATGAAGGGAAGATACTTTGTGAAGGGCAACAAGGATGAGAAAGTTCCCAAAAAGTGCCATGAGCGAGAGGAGAATGTGAACTGCCGTGAAATAAATTGATTGTTGTTGCAATCCACCTGCCAATGATGGCGAGCAAATCAGGTCTTCAAATGTTTTTGTTTGCCTTTCAAATACTGTTAAATTTGTGGTCGACATCATCAGTATCTACTTTTCTTTGGATGTAACAGAGATATTTCGCCTTCACGACAACTTCACATCCACTGTGGCTTAAATCTCATCTTTTAATAATGCATATATATACTCAAGCATTTAAACGGTATCATTTACCCTATTTGAAATGCGCAAACGATCTCAAGAGTCTTTTGTGCCATAGAACAAATTAAAATTTCCCCATAGGTCGGCATGTGTAATTTGTATTAAGTATGTACATCAGTTGTTCAGCGAAAATAAAAATTTACGACAACTTATTCTGCCGTTATACCCTGAAAGGTCTCTGGATAGATCCAAGGATGGAAATGTTGTTCAAAAGATCATAAATAATTCAAATATTCCTCCCACGGGAGACACTTTGTGTGCAAATTATCTCTTGTTTTGAGGTGGAATTTTGCTACTGAACAATGCTGTTTGTCTTAGTTACCTGTTTATCAAATTTGTAAACCACATATTGGATATGGCATCGTATAACAGGGACAAATTTATACCCCCTGTGACAATTGTTTCAAAATATGTGGTGGAAAAAAATCAGTGTATGACTAAGTAAAACGTTCACTGAAAGCTATTGACAGATTACGAAGTGCTTATGTCAACGCTGTGATCTCGGCGCTTGTCAGAATTATGATTAAATGCATGCAGCAAGCTGAAAAACAAAAAGGTTGCAGCGCAGATGTGTCTCGGTCAGGAAGCAGTTTGAAGACTTCGTTTGAATAAATCTATCGTCACCAGTACTATGTTATTTAAGCCAAGGTTTTGTTTTATTTTTTGTTTTTTTCGAGCTATCGCAGTAACGTTTATTCTACAATACGGTTTTGCTACGGAATAAAATATTTAATCATTTCATAAGTGTAAAGCATAAAGCTACAAATATTGTTTGCTTTATAAACTATTAAGGTAAGTCAATCTTTTTTGTTGAGTCATTATTTGATTGCAAAACATTACCGTGGTAAAAATTAAAGTTGTTATTTATACGACAGGTGATTGCATTTATTTTGTCTAACTCTCGATTCCTTTTTCGTAATAAGTGGCTCCACAACTGACTCGAAGAAGATATCTGTAGTAGTGACTTGTATTCTGCATCACAGCTTTATTATTATTATCAATTTTTTTTGACAGCTTATCGAGTGAAAACATAGCCTGTTCGAGGAGTTCATGTTGTAAAACGAAGTGCACAGTAAACGGCACGATAGTCACGGCAGAGCGGAAAAAAAGTGAGGCTTGGGTCGAGTCGAGTAGAGAACGGCGTTCACCCGACGCGACCCAACCCGATCCGACCCAACCTCATTCTCCCTCGTTTTTTCACTTTATCGCTGCTATCGTGCAGTGTACCATTTACTCCGTTTTACTAAAATGAACGCCTAGAAAAGGTTAGTGATAACAACAGCAACTAAATATGAGTTCTGCTTAATAGCCTGGGACATCCTTCATCATTTCATCACATTCTGTTTAAAGATCAGGTTCAGCTTGGCTTGCCTGGCTTAGCTCATGACTCAGCAAGACAAAGTAAATTTATTTAAGTTTCATTTTGTCTATGAGATATACCTTTATTCATGGCAATGTTAATTTCCTCATATTATTTACTGATCTAAAATTCGCATACATGGCATGCCTGGCTTAGCTCATGACTCAGCAAGACAAAGTAAATAAAGAAACATTTTAAATTTTTTTCTGTATTATTTTAAAGCATAAATCTACGATATCACCCACCAAATTTATTTGATTATCGTTTTATCGATGAGATATATATTTATTTATTGCAGCTTCCTCGAATCATTTACTCATCGAAAATTCGCATACAACCTGTTATTCATTCCGTAATATTCGTTACAGTTCCGAGGACGGAAGGGAAGCGTTAAAGGAAACCAAATAAATGAGGTTAAAGCGCAGTAGTTTTTAAAACAAAGTCCTGTTCCTTCCATTATACTTATTCTTTTTTCAGAACTTTAAAGACATGAATAATTTTTTGACCATCAGATGGAATTCAAGCGCGGAAAGGGTCCTTGCGGTGGTGAGCTGTCATTCAAATCTTTTAATTAGTGGTAGGTGTTCAAAAGCGCGTGTTAGCAGTTTTTTTGCTCAATTGTCATTAAAATGAGAGAATGTTTTCTCATAAGACCAGCTGTGTATACAAGGCTTATGACAGAGTCACGACATGTTCTTGAATATTCGAATTTGGTGATAAAAGAGCTTTCAAAATTACTTGCTCAAAATCTATGGATAACCTTCTGAGGACTACAATTTTGCACTCGATAGACATTTTTAATTCATTCACATAACAGAGATATTTTCTCTAGTTCAGTACCGTGCACAAAATTTACCATCTATTTTCTACATGTATAATATCAAAAAGACTGGATGATATAGTGAAATCAAATACCAAGTTAGAGCGTAGTAGTTTTTAAAACAACGTCCTATTCCTATTATTTTTGTTTTCAGAACTTTACTGATATAAATAATTTTTTGACCATCAAATGGAATTCAAGCGCGGAAATGATCCTTGCAGTGGTGAGCTGTCATACAAATCTTTTAATTAGGAGGAGCGGTAGGTGTTCAAGAGCGCGTGTTAGCAGCTTTTGTACTCGATTGTCATAAAAACGAGAGAATGCTTTCTCATAAGACCAGCTGTGTGTACACGGCCTGTGGCGGAGTCACGAAATCTTCTTGAATATTCGAATTTGGTAATAAAGGTGCTTTCAAAATTACTTGCTCAAAGAAATTTATGGATAACCCTTTGAGGGCTACAATTTTGTACTCGGTAAAAAGTCTTAGCTGATGCAGATAACAGACTGATAAACAGCTAGTCTTATCAACCATGTTAGAGTCTTGGCTCTATTTCTTATTATAAGTTTCCTCTATCATAATTTGCAAACTTGCTCTCCGGCAAACGATTGGTCTCAAACGATAAATCTATATGTGAAAATAGTGATAATCAACTCATTTTCTAAGAATTGACTTCAAAATATTTAAACAGATGAAAACAAAGTCGACATATTTTTGTTATAAGCAGATCGAGCCCGTGGCTCCTGTTACAATCCATAAACACTTAACCGTGTCTCCGAGCCAAAGTGACACATCTCATTCAGTTTTGACAAAACAGCAAAATCGTTAGCGCATTCTGCTTGAAAAGAATAGTCTCCACTGCTTCATTATAAGTGTGTGCATTCGGCATGTGATATTCCTGTGATATATTTTATTACTAAACTAATGTTTTACCTTTTAGTTGTTCTTAAGATAACTTGAATATAAAAGTGAGAAGTGACTCTTTATGGTTTTCCCCACTCTTCTTTATTAAATGGTATATCCTCTTCTCTCTTGTAACAAACATGATTGTTAAATAGCTTTGGAAGAAACATGTAAACGTCGAAATGGGTCGAAACCTATGTAAGGCAAATTGTTTGTCTGATTGTCTGCTTTACTGCTTGTCTCATATCTTTGATCTTCCAATGGTAAAGAAACGGGTTTAAAGTGGAGTTGAGAAAAACTAAAACATTCGCCATTATGGCGAATGATTATTATGATTATGATAAATTCGATAATCGGTTTAAACTCAAAGATATTCACAATTTGCGCTGTTAAGTTTGGTACATAACAAACAGATAAGGCTAACTGTAACCAAAGTGCACTGCATATATTTTATGCAAACTTAGGACGCCGTGAATTATCTTAGTTTCGTTGTAAACAGTATGGCTAATTCCCAGTTATAACAAAATTAAGCGGCCGGCTATTTTCAAAGCTCGTTATCACTAAACCATATTTCTGAGCAAAAGTGGCATATCTGATCAAAATTTGATCGCAAAGAAAAATCCTGAGCGCATTCTAAATCCAAAATAACTGATAGCCTTCACCTCTTCACTACAAATTCGGAAATTGGAGACGTAATATTGTTTTGTTAAACTATACTTTCTCACTTTTTAGTTGTTCGTTAGATAACTCGAATACAATTTACTACTTATTTCATATTTTTCCTTACCCTTTTTCATTACCTTCCCCTCTCTCCTAACGTCTAGAATTCTTTCAAAAAATCTACATGAGAAAATTTACATGCCAACGTTAAAATAGGTCTACTCCTATGCATAGCAGATTGCTTGTCTGATTGTCTGCTTTACTGCTTGTCTTACTTCACTTATCTTCCAGCAGTAAAGGAACGGGTTTAAAGTAGAGTTAAAGAACACTAAGACATTTGCCATTCCCCTGATTACGATGAAATTCGATAATCCCTTTAAACTCAATAATATCACAATTTCCACTGTTATGTTTGGTACATAACAGACAACTAATACTAATTGCACCCACAGTGCACTGTACACTGCCTTTCTGTATCGCGCCATAATCAGTGCATTTGGTTGGCTCGGCTGTTGTTGAGCATAATCTTGTATTTGAGCCTGATGATGACTGAGAGCGCGAAAAATCTTTGTGTACGAGGCGATTGAGATAACTAGGCATAACGGTGCACCTGTAACACTGAGCCAAAAAGTTATACGGTAATTAAGATGAAAGAACAAGCCAGAGAGTAGAGATACAATCCAAAAGATAGCTAAAATGATGTATGTGCGCCTCAAAGTGACAATCTCTTTGTATCTCAGTCCCAACAACATGGCGAGAAGTCGGTCCACGCTTATGGTCGTCAGCGTCAACATGGAAACTGTACATAACACATAGCCTGTTACGCCGGTTGCGTAAAATGAGAATCGGCAAAGACTCCAGTGTTTGTGAACCACGGACATCCAATAGGCAGCATAGGTAGGTTGGGTAACAAGACCAACCAAAAGATCAGTTGTTGCCAGACAACGATACAAGAGTTTGGATGGCGGATGGAGGGAAGATTCCTTATGAAGGGCAACAAGGATAAGAGAATTCCCAAGAGTTGCTGTGATGGAGAGGAGAATGTTGACTGCTGAGAGTGAAATGGACTGTTGTTTAAACTCACCTAACCAAACTGGGGAACATAGCGATTCGTCAAATGTTTGCGTATGTGTTCCTCTTCCCGTTATATTTGTTGTCGCCATCATCTTCTAGTCGCTATCCTTATAATTAGTTACAACGAGGGATATTTCGTCTTAACAGCACCCTCCAAGTCAAGATCAATTAAACCTTAGTTTTTGAATAACAATTACACCGAGTAAAATTTATCACTGGCATCTGACTATGTAAAATGCCCGAAAGCTGTGAGGTTTATCACACGAGAGAGAAAAAAAACCAATTTTTTCTGCGCGATTTGAATTAAAAGTAAGAGGAAGGAAAACTATAGTTGAGATAGGTAAATTTTACAATAAAACAGAGCAAAAACCTCTTCACCTAAATAAACCACCAGTGATATGAAATCGAAAGTCGACAGATAATCGGTCGACAGTCGACCGATTGTTTGCCGACACTGTTACCAACGTATTGGCCGGCGTGTTGTTTGGATCGGATTCGTTTCCTTACCCAGATAATACGGTGAATTACTAATTCACGGGAATCTTGGGACACCATGAATTGTTATCAACAAGGGAAAACTGAGAGAAAAAGTCCAGTTTCAAAATTAATGCAGGTTACAAATGCAAAGTTATTCTAAAAATATTTGAATTTCTGTTTTCTACGTGTCGCACCTGTGTTGACTTAGGAACGAAACGGCGACAGGTGTCAGATGTTACGTCGTTAGCCCATCTCTATCTTAACTTTTTAATTCACTATATTTACTTACTTCTTTCATGGCCGCAAATTTAGCAGGATTATTTTTTTGTGGTCACGAAAAAATGTAAGGGTTATCTTAAGAAGCTCGAGGTCCCATTTTTTTCAAGTATCTAATTAATAGTGAGGTAAGCTTCTAGTTTCTTGGAAGGGAGACGATTAGGTGACCGATTCCGAGAACACTTTCGCGACGTAGAAAGAAATGACAAGGACGCATCCAAACCAGTTGCTAGACACTTAAATCTCCCTAATCATTCTAAGCAGCATATGGCAGTTTGCGGTCTTTCCTTACATAGAGGCAGTTCGAAAAGTGGCAAAACTTTAAAACAAAAATTTGTCTTTAAAATCGGGACCCCTAATCCCTACGGTATCAACGAACAACCTTCATTCAATTTGTTCTTGTTTTCTCGTCACCATATTCCCATCAATAGCGTAGCTCCATATTTTGTATAGAAACCTATACACACCCCATAATTGCTCCAGTCGCTCTCGCGCTAATACAGGACGAAATCACATGTTTCCGTATTTCTGAAACGTGGCGGAAACATGCAACTCCATGTTTCCGTTATCTTTACGTCTTACGTCTACGTAAACGTTGTATACGCAGTAACGGAAACGCGAGAAAACGTCACGAAGGCGGTAACGGAAACACAGGTTATCCGTCGTGTTTCCGGAACGGTTTAACATGTTTCTGCCACGTTTCCGTTTACGGATTCTTGCAATTTCGTCCTGTGATATAACGCTCAAAGCGTCTGCTTTTAAACTCTTTAATTTAGGTTAATTAAGTTATCAACTCAATTAATACTCCTGAATTACTCGAAGTAATTTTTTTCTTGTTCTTGTTTCAAGCACGCTGTCATGTATTCGGCAAGTGACTGGATTCTTTTTGTTGCAATTTTTCTCGCGATTTACGATTTACCTTTAGTAATATTCGAATATTAAGGCTACGTTAACTCGGCACCGGACGAATTTTCGACCAGATATTCTGTTCACGTGGAACTGTGCGAAAGTTTCGTTTTGTTCAGATGGAACCAATAACCGTATAAAGTTTGTGACATTCGTCAGTGGTTTTACCGCCTACTCATGCGCAGAAGGTTTCTTAATCCAGTGTTTTCGCTGCTTGGACTTCTTCAATTTTCAGATAGATGAGCGACGTTTTTTAACTTGATTTTCGGACATTATCAAGACACCAACACAACATCGCCTATCTGCATGGTAAGCTCGGAACGTCCTAGACGTTTTCGAAATAATATTATGCAATAAAGCTGTAAATATTACCGAGCACCGCAGTAAATATACCAACGCGTTCCATTTTGGCATAAAATTGTACTCATGTCATTTGGTAAATAGAATAAGAGACATGGCAAGTTTTGAAATCAGTAAAGAAATAGAGAAAGATTTTCTCTTTGTCCCACGCTAATGACAAGACGAAAAACATCCTTCTCTATTTCCTCACCGAGCTCAAAACTTACCATCTCTCATATTCTATATACTGTTATCATTTTAGGATAAATAACATGATTATTAACAGGAGCAGCAAATGATTTGTTTCTACATGCGGCATGAAAGCTATTTCACCGCTGACCACTCGTATTTCTGACATTTTTTCTTCCCCGGTTCGTCGACCGTCATGTGGTAACTCCCATGTTATTTTACTTAGATACCACGCATCCATGCAGCCGCGCCTTCACAGTACAAAAGTTTCTAAGTTTAAGACATTCACACCATGGCGGTCAAATTATTGACTGCATCGGCTAAAAATTCGTCCTCAATTTTGGTGTGCAAAATTTTGAACTCTTGGGCGTCCGAATTTTCGTATGTTTGGCGTGGTTCCATGTGAACGAAACGTCTACACGCACGAATCTCCCACGGTCGAAAATTTGTCCGGTGCCGTGTGAACGTAACCTAAAGATAATGAAGTTGTCTGCTAATTACCGTTGAAAATAATTGACTGATTATTAACTCTTTTAATTCTTATTGAGGTACATAGTCCTGAGCTGCGAAGCACGCGGTCAGCGGAGTCCTTCAAGTCGGACCAAGCAACACTACACAGCACATCTACAGAAGAAAACAAAATAGAGTTTATAAATTGAAAAGTGGGTATGATAAAAAAGGCGAAATGGAAACAAATGATACAACAAATACAGGGCAATTAAGAGGGAGAAAAAGGGGTAACTAAGGGGATACAAGTCAACTTTTATCTCCCCACTGGAGACCACTGGTTACAAAATGATTTGCCTTGTGTTTGCTGGTCTGTGTGGAAATAAAAAATCAAATCGAGTTGTGTGCTAGTTTACATTTGCTGTATGTGATAGTAAATGTTCTTTCCTCCTTGCTTTTTGTAATTTGTTTGTCTTTTGATTTTAAATGCTTGGTGAAGCCATGTCAAGAGGTATAAAAACAATAAGATTTGACTCGGAGCAGCTTGGATATATCACCGTCTCTGGAAGGATTCTTAATTTAACAGAAGCCAGCGGAATATTTACAACTTGCAATTTTTTCTTTCGAGGACATCTCGAAACGTTGTCAGCAGAGTCTCTCTAAAAGAATTGCGGATGAAACCGACCATTTTTTATTATTAGCTGTTACTAAATTGCGTAGAAAACAGGAAATAAAGCCTTAAACTAGAGAAAATCCAGCGAATCCATTAAAAATTGATCTACTTTTCTCTCATGTTTAATTCTAAGCTAGTCAACCGAAATGCCATTTACTGGTTAGAATAGGAAGGATATGAACGAAATGACATCGCGGATTCCTTTAGGGCACGTGTCACACATGAAGCTAGTTATGGCCTTGTTCCCTCGGAGTCTCTGTTGTTCACTGGTAAGGGCAAAGAATTCCTAGCCTAAGGCTCAATTCCTTACAAGGACTCAGAATTTTTCTTTGTTCCACGCTCGCGACAAGAAGAAAATTGAAAAAACCTTTGTCTATGTAACCTTTTCTCTTTGTTTGCAAGTTAATCTACACGGAGTATGTCAAACACTTCTGAGCTTAATTCTTTATTTAGAAAACAACCATTTAACGGAAATGCTTTCGATCTTCAATCCGGCTTTAATTAGAGTGTAAGTTACAACCCCTCGTTTTTCAGGAAAGAACAGACTATATTGGAAGAGTTATTCACCATTTGAATGTAGTCAATGTAGTGAATGACTATCGAGAACGACTCCCCACCGTTTTCCTATCTTTGACGCAACCTCGCCTGGACCAGCCAATACTGCAAAGATTCTTGAGCGCTCTTTGCCTTTTTTCAGCTGCCACTGGTTTCCAAGAAGGAAAAGAAAAGATCGAGTCGTAGAAAACTCCCACAAGCCTTTTCTTAACAAGCTGCCACGTAAACGGCAGGTGAACGATTTTTATCTTTTTTTTTTTTTGCACTAAACTCTGTTGCAATTTGATGATAATGAATTGAAATTCGAAATCACCTAGCCTGGAACAAGGTAATTTGGTATTATCAACTTAGTTAATAACGTAAATTGTCCACTGTAAAGAGCTTCAAAGCTGACGTTTCGAGCGTTAGTCACTCGTCAGAGCGAATGGAGGAATTGTGGGTTGTGTGTGTGTTTATATGCAGAAAATAGAGATACACTTTGGCGATTTGAAAGATAAATTTTTGTTCTAAAGTTTTTCGGCTTTCGAACTGCTTAGATGCCTTTCTAATTGCTTTCGAACTGCTTAGGTGCAAGGAAAGGCTGCAATGAGATTTTAGTCTAACGACTGGTTTGGATGCGTCCTTGTCATTTCTTTCTACGTTGTGAAGGTGTTCTCAGAATTGGTCACCTTGTCGTCTTCCTGTCTCGCCAATGTATAACTTTTTGCGATAAGTGCAAGTAATGTAGCAAATAACCAAATTTGGTGAAAACAGATGAAACCATAGCAAATGTCTTGAGGGGCATCTATGGGAGATCTGATGCCTTTTTGAGAAAAAAAAGTAGCTTCAAATATATGGAAAGCAAAATCAGTGGTAAACTTTTATTTAAAGAAACTAGAAGTCACCAAGAACATTCTCAATCCAACTGTCAGAGGATATAATTAATAAAAAACCTGTAGTTGAAATGTCCGTCGACGTTCATTGACTTAATGTTTGACAGAAACCTCTAGCTTTTCATACGGGTCACATCTAATTGTAATTGAACCTGAAAAAGAAAAAGAGAGCTGGAAATATTATATGGCGAAACCAAGGTTTGTTTTATACAATTTTGCCTTCATAATTTCTTTCATTGAGTTTTTACCGTTTCCTCTCAATTCTAAATGGTTCAACTCAAAAGTGGAAGTTGGTTACTGGAGCGAGAAATTGCATTCGGCGTCAATTTTTTTTCGACCATTTTCCTATTTTCAAAGT